AACATTGTGTAGGTCGTGCTCCAGAATGATCCCACAATCTACATCAGCAACTAGTAGATTTGTTCTTGAAAGCACACTTGTCCTTTTTTTTTTTTTTTTCTGAACTTGAAACCTGTATTGCATAAAAGCAATCTGAGGGTGTCTAGGGAGAGTATGAATTTAACAAATGTGCATGTATTGCTCAAACTGCTACTGTCTTCTCTTTATGAATACTTTGTTACTGGCAGTTTATGATGCAAAGTACCAAATGAGATTAGTGTTCTTGTCAGTTCAATGTAAAGTGCAAGCCTTGTTCATTGGTTTTTTGGTTTTGTTTTGTTTTTTATTTTTTTATTTTTTTAATGAAGAAAAGGTCTGATTTGGTTTGTCTGTAATGCATCATTTTAAACAGTTCATGTGGTGTTGGTTTTTGCAAAAGATTAATTGTCTATATCAGTGCAAAATTCGCCAAGTTTCTTATGCCATTATTTTCTTATACTTCATGCTTTATTGCTATAAGACAGTTGCAGTTCAGGAAATATGAATTTAGCTACATGTTCTTTGATGCCATTATACTTTTAGAAGCCTTTGTTGATAAAACCGAGGTCCTTTCAAATGTGAGTTGTTTAGGATCAATGAAATCCTATTGTAGAATGATGAATTTGAATACATTAATATATTATTTATTTATAATTTTTAATTGTGTACTTTAATTATTGTATTGTGCTACACAGGGATAATAAAAAAAATTGTGTAATTTTAAATATATTGAAAAAATATTCCCCACGAAAAGTCTGTGGGTAAAAGCATTTGAAGAAAAAATAAATTATATTTTTTTCTCCACGGAAACAGTCGTGGGTAAAAAATATTTAAAAATAAGCAAATTGAATTTTTCCCACGGATAGGTCGTGGGTAAAATTATTTACATAGAAAATTAATTTTTTTTTTTTGCCCACGGCTAGTTGTGGCTAAAAGTATTTGTTAAAATCTTTTATTTATTATTTTTCCCATCGATTTACACTCGAAAAGTCGTGGGTAATTCTCATCAATTATATTATTTCAAAAATCATTCTCCCACGAAGCACACACGAAAAGAGTTGTGGGTGAATTACCCTCAACACTCATTTTTCGTGGGAGAGTTTACCCACAGAACGTTGACCGTCTGTGGATAAAAGCATTTGAAAAAAAAATAAATTATATTTTTTCCCACGAAAATAGTCGCGGGTAAAAAATATTTAAAAATAAGCAAATTTAATTTTTCCCACAGATAGGTCGTGGGCAAAATTATTTACATAGAAAATTAATTTTGTTTTTGCCCACGGCTAGTTGTGGCTAAAAGTATTTGTTAAAATCTTTTATTCATTATTTCTCTCACCGATTTACGCATGGAAAGTCGTGAGTAATTCTCATCAATTATATTGTTTCAAAAACCATTCTCTCCCGAAGCACAAACAAAAAAGAGTTGTGGGTGAATTACCCCCAACACTCAGTTTTCGTCGGAGAATTTACCCATAGAGCGTTAACCGTCCGTGGGAGAATGGTTACCCACGGTCGATTCCTGCTTTTCGTGGGAAAGTCGTAGGAGAATCTGTTCACCGATGACCGCTTAGACATTTTACCTACAACTCACGGTTGTGGATACGGGCAGTTTTTTTTAGTGGTTTTATGTTTTTTGGCGAAAAAAGGAGAAAGAAGAAAAATCAACCGATTAAATTTGGAAGTTTCAATAATTTTTACAGTTACACCTCAACTTCCTAAGCCTGTTGCGAAAGGGTCATGTGGGTTACAAATCCTGAAATTAAGTGATGCATTATTTTATATTTTTACAATTCTTACCTACATTAATAATTCCTTTTTTTAAAAAAATGCAAATCTATAAAAACTAAATAAAAAAAAGGAAAAAAATCAATGTCAGACCAAAACATTTCAGTTTTTGGAAAAGAAAAAATTAGACCACATTTTGTGGATTCTTATAGTAAGATTTTAATTTTTTGGCGAAGTGTGAGGATAGCCAAAAAAAAAACAATAAATAAATTAAGATGAAGGGATTATAAATTGTGTGAAAACTAAAAAGTTGATGTTTTTTTCAAAAAAAAAAGTATACACTATGAAGTTTTTTTAGGGGCAAATGAATATCGAAAAAAATTATCGCTTATGAATAGTACACGAGAACTAATTTGTTTTTTTTTTTAAGTGAAAAGTTGTAAAAAATTTTATTTCTACCCTATATGGTTGAGCACATTCAGAATTGAAGTTCTGGATCCGCCACTAGTTTGAGGTTGTAGGGTCTCCCTTAATTCCTGCAAGAAAAAATCCTTAGCATTAAAGAAATCTTTAACAGTTAAGTTCGGCCAAAGAGGAGCATTTTGAACTTCACTTTGTAGAAACCCTAATCATGTCCACTTATCGCGCTAGAATGAAGAGGAACCATTGTTGATTATCATCTCGTATTTAGAAGATGCTCTTTGCGCCACCTTTATTACCCTTTTCCAGCTGGTTTTTTCTTTTGCCAATTTAGAGAAAGAGGATACGAATCTGGCACAAACTCCCTGCTTGGTTGTTATCTTCCATCACAGTTTCATGGAAAAAGCTATAATAGTGTCTTCCAACTTGTGAAACCCTAATTCATTATCCGCAACCGGGAAAGTCATTTTATGCCAAGCTCTCCAATGCCTTTTGTTTCCATTTTCATTCTCACCCAAAGGAAAAGTTGACATTTCTTTTCTATCTCTTCTATGATTGATTTCAAAGGAGCAATCGCTGCTATGGTATGAATTGGAATGGCTGAAAGTACATGCTTAATTGAGATAATTCTACCTCCCACCGATAGCATTTTGTTTTTCCGATTTCCCAACTTTGCATCGACCGACTCCAACAAGTGATGAAAGTATTCGGCTTCCTTCCTTCTCTTGAAAATATTACAACCCAAATATTTAAATGGTAGAGTACCTTGAGGCATTTGTAGCGTTTGCGAAACCATTTGAATATGTTGCTCGCTACTCTTTTCCGATACAAGGAAGCTGCTCTTTTGCTTGTTCATTCCTTGTCCTATAGCTTTCTCATATTCCTGGAATAAATGCCTGAGTTGTAACATAGATTTCTTCAGACCTTTGGAGAAAATGATAAGATCATCTGCAAAACATAGATGAGATACTATTTCAGAACTCGCCGAAGCACCATATATTGCTACCTTCCCTTCCACCACTAATTTCTTTAAGTTCCGTGTAAAGGCTTCTGACAATAAGATGAAAAGGTAACACGAGAGAGGATCGCCTTGTTTAATACCACGTGATGCTTGAAAGAAGCCAGCTGGAAAGCCATTAACAATTACTGAAAACCAACTTGTTGAGAGATTTGACATTACTAGAGAAACAAAATGTGGATGAAAGCCAAACTTCAAAAGTATTTCCCTTAAAAAGCTCAACGAAACTCTATCAAACGCCTTCATCATGTCCACCTTTAAAATCAAATTCCCACCTCTTGTTTTATGATCTAAAATGGAAGAAGCTCCTCAGTCAGTAGAACATTATACATGATGTGCCTTCCTTCTAAAAATGCGGATTGCTCCTCCCAAATCAATTTTAGAAGAACCACTTTGAGCCTATCCGTAAGAAGCTTGGTGAAGATTTTATTCAGAAAGTTGCAATGACTTATTGGTCTATAATCTGCAAAAGATGTAGCCGTACTTTTATTCGGGATTAAAGTGATTAAAGTACTTCCAACCGCCCTTGGCATCGGAACACCTGATATTAATTCCATACATGCAACCTTCAAATCCTCACATATTATGGACCAGCATTGTCGATAAAATCACCCCCAAATCCATCACTTCCTGGCATGCTGAGAGGATCTAGACTGAAAACCGCCGTCTTGGCTTCATCCATGGTTAGGTCCTTTAGTAAGATTTTGTTTTCATCTAATGTGAGTATACCCGGAATGCACCTCAAAATGTTGTCACTTGCTTCTTCATGGCTCGAGCTTTCCTCTTTCCCAAGAAGATTTTGAAAAAAGAGACCGCTTCTTGCTCTATTTTCTCCTTTTTAACCACCGAAACTCCATTTAACCATCTTTTCTTGTGGATTCATAGCCTTGCTTTTTTCTCCTTCAAAGAGGCATGGACGAACTTTGAGTTTAAATCAACTTCTTTTAACCATTTCAATCTTGCTTTTGCTGCAAAAAGAACATCTTTCTCCTGCAGCTTTTGAAATAAATGAGCTTGTGCTTGATGAAGTGAGATTCTGTCATTCATATCCCCGGAATGATCATATGCAGCTTCCTTCATTTGAACATCTTTTTCCGCTTCCTCTAAATTTTTGAAGACATTTCCAAACTCCTTTTTATTCCATTCTCTTAGACTTTGCTTGAGACGTTTCAATTTTAGGGAGAAACGTAACATTCCTCTTTGTTTCATAGGTTGATTTCGATTCTCAGCAACCAATTCCATAAAAACATCCCATCGTATCCACATTCATTGAAATCAAAACATACTTGGCCTTGTTTCCTCCTCATTTCTGAATTGATGGAGAATTGGTTAGTGATCAAGGGTAGCTCAATTTAAATTTTGAACTGATGAGTTAGGGTAAAGATCCATCCATTCTTGGTTGAAAAGAATACGATCAAACCGTTTAAGAACTCTCTCATTCTGCCTATTTCCAGCCCATGTGAAGGTGCTCACCAACGGGGTCAATTCAGTGAAATTACAACTATTTATCCGCTCATTAAAATCATCAATCGCTCCTTGCTCAGGGAGGGCATTCCCAAGATACTCATCCTGGTTGCGAATGACATTGAAGTTGCCTCTGATCATCCATTGAGAGTTGTGATTTTGCTAAAAAACCCTAGCAATTCAGACAAAAGACTTTTCCTCTCATGTCTTCTTGATTTCGCATATATTGCTAAAAGGTGCATTTTTTTTGAGCTTTTCGTATTTTCCAATGCTACATGTAGGACTTGATCAGAGTCAGCTATCACATTTATAAACCAGAGATCCAAACAAAGTACCGAGATTTTACCATTCGAAGATGCCACAACAGAAGAAAAATGAAGTTTCAGCTTTAAGTCCTCAATTTGCAACGCTGGTAACATGGGTTCTAAAAGTACGACTAATGGCAAAGAAAAAGATTTCACCAGGTTCTTAAGCCGCCTTTGCAATGCTTTATTTCCGATTCCCCTTACATTCCATATAAACTGGCTATTCATTGGAAACTTTGTAAAAGATAATCATTTTGAATTCTCGCTGATGTGAGAGTTTTCATGCCTTGAGGTCTCGCCGCTTTTGTTGATGCCTTGAGTTTTGATGCCTTGCTGTAATTTTTCACACTTCTTTCCTTTTGGCTCTCAAAGAAGCAGCAAAACTATGACTGCACACCCACACTTTGCTGCTCATTTTGGTCTATAAAGTAGCCAAATGGGTCCAATAAAAATACAAAAAATTGGGCAAAATTAATGAATTTCTTTGTGCTTTAATCCAATTAGGAAGGGAGCCCAAACCCAACAACCTGTTAAGCGCGGCAAATTTGTGAAGTCGGTGGGTTTCAAAATTTGGTAAAGGCAGGGAGAGGACGACGTCGTACTGCATGGGGCGCATTTAATATTTTCATGCAACGGAATTCAACTGAATCTTTTTTACCATTGCCTGTATTTGTAGTATAAAAAGGAGTTGTACTGCTTTGTTTTGATTATCGAAGATTCCAGATAATAATTCTGTTTTCAGAACATCTCTTTCCCTAAAACTCAACTTCTCTCTTTTTCTTCAATTCTATTCCGATCGATTGATCTAACTCCAACGAGTTTTGCCTGAAATTCGCTCGGATTTAGGACTGAGAATTACAAGAGTGTAACAATTGGTATCTAGAGCTTTAAATACCTTGTATCTTTGAGGAAATGGCGCCAAACAGGATGGGAAATCCGGTGAATGAAGCAGAGGAGCAACTCGAGAGCTAGAAGAAAAATTTTCAAGAATATATGATGAAGCAGATGGCTGAAAACTTTGCTAAGATCTATGCTGAGTTGCTAATGTTGTTGAAGGATGTTTTTTCAGGACAAATTTGTGGCAATTGATGCAAGATTCTTAGAAACGAAGCTTGACCTGTCTGCGGAGAAAGTAGCTTCCAGTTGTAATGGTAAAAATATAAACTCTCCTTCTATTGCTTGAATTTCTGGAGTTAAGCAATGTAATCAGTATAAACAGAAAACTCGAGTTGAAGTAGTTGAGGAGGCAGAAGATTATGATGATACTAAACTGTTTAAGAAGAATTGGAAACCTAGACTTACAATTGAGTTGACTATGTTTGAAGGAGAAAATGCTAGAAGCTGGATAAGGAAATGTCAAACGTATTTTAGCTTTTATCAGATGTCTGATGAGGAGAAATTGGAATCTGTGGAATTTTTCTTAGACGGAAAGACAAATATATGGTTTCAAGGCTTTAGTAAGTCTAATCCACAAGCCTCTTGGAATCAATTTGAAATGGACTTGTTGAAAAGATTTAAAGACTTGGATAGTCTAGATCCTATTGAGGAATTTAACAAATTGTCACAAAAAAAAAAAAAACAATTACTGAGTACTCCCTCTGGTCCTTAAACATTTTAATTTCTCCTAAGTTTCACCTTGTACGCAAATTTTATCAACAAAAAAACCTTAAAATATTTCATAACAATCAAGAGAATACAACGAATGTGAAATTATATTTTTGAACGTTATTTTGATAATTAAAAATGCATATTAGGTGAAACCTATAATAAATCAAAATGCATTATATTATAGACCAGAGGGAGTATTATGATATACTTGAGGAGTTGAAATCTCAGTTGTTGTGTTCTGATCCTCATTTGAATAAAGCATACTTTGTGTCAAGCTTTGTAAGTGGATTGAGGGAAGAGTTTAAGCCATTTGTGAGGTTTATGGAACCACAAACAGTGTTGAGAGCTTTCCAAGCAGCTAAATTTTAAGAACAATCACTGGCTTTGACTCCAAAAACTAGGCCTGTTATACATGCTTCCAACAGGAGTTTTAATACTGTTGGCAAATTGTCTGCTCAAGGAACTGCTAAAGGGGGAAATGAGTTGTATAAGAGATTATTACCTCAAGAAAGCAGTACAGAAAAGTTAACAATTTGTGTTGGAAGTGTAATGATGCTTGGGTTCCAGGACATGTTTGTAAACTGGAACATCTCAACTTGATCATAGTTAATGATGATATGGATCTGGAAAATGTTAAGTGGCTGAGTGATGAGTTGGAAGGTACGGGTAAATCTAATTGATTTAGAGGCCATTCATTATTGGGAAGAATGTATTGAGGTATAGGATGATGAAGAGGAATTAGAGCCAAGAAGATTGATCATTATAAAAGGAATTATAAATGGAGAAATGTTGAGGATTCTAATTGATACAGGAGCTGTGAGAAGTTTCATTGATAATTCTTTGGCTCAAAAACTTGGCTTAAGCATGAAAGTGGTGAAGCCTTATTATGTCAAACTAGCTGATGGACACAAGATCAAGAACAATGTGATTTGCCCAGCTGCTAAATGGGAAATTCATAAGCTTAATTTTCAGTTTAACTTCAGACTGATGGATTTGGAAAATTGGGATATGATTCTTGGTACAGATTGGATGGCACACTTCTTTTTGACTATGACATTTGTAAGATTGAATTGTCTAAAGGTGGCAGGAGATTTTTGTTGCAAGGACATTCATTGGCCACAGAAGATGAAATCAGGGCTGCTAAGCCTACGAGATTTAGGGTGGAACAAACTGTGTTGGCTCCTGATAAGAGGATGAGTTGGTGTGATGATAGTGAAAGGGTGAACTGTTTGGAAGAGGTAATGATTATTACTGAGACTAATGCTACAGCCAAGTGTCCTAAAGCAAACAAATTCTAAACTCATTTTATTATAAAAAAACAGTAAAGAGAATTGTTAAAACTTGTCTCAGATTCAAGTCTCATCAGAGACAGATAATGTACACCACAGTTCAATAACACTTGAACAACTCAGAAACTCACTTCCGTGAGTGTGTGAAACGGACCACAAAACAATGTATAGCTTAACCTACTATCAGTTCTAAGATTAGATTCAATTTATTTCAAATGGACATTCTTGTGATTAGTACCTATTTCCTTCTTCCCTTCAACTAGGGTATTCTTACTGAGATTCAGAACAAAGGACTTTCTCTCATTTCTGCAAGCATCATACGCTGCATCTTTTCAACCTCGTGCTTTTTCCTCCTTGGTCCAATTGACTTTTCTTCGGACTCTTTCCCACTTAGGCCTCTACTAAGTCACATAGGAAACTCTGCCTATACTCCCTCATTAGATAAAACACTTAACCTCAGATTCAACCGCCAACTTCCCATTTTTCCAAGGTATTTAGGCTAATCCAAACCACTATGAGCTCGATTTAAGGTTACCATAATGTGTAGGGCTTCCTTAGTCTAACTCCTAGATTTACAGGCCCCCCAGGTTTCAGACAAGTGGACTCCAGTATAAGATCACAACAATATATTAAGCATTCAAGATTTTAAAATTTTAAGCCCAAAGCAAACACATTCTCACGTGGAATGTTGTGCATAAGGATGTGGTCATGAGTTTTCAATATTGACTAAGAATAACCTGAATAGGTGTATTTACAGTCATTTATAACCCTCAATATTGAATTCATCATAAATTATTAACAATTCTCAAATTTAACTTGATTTTATTGAAAGAAAATTCTTTTTTTTTAAATTTTTTTTTCAAAATGATTTTTTTGATTTTTTTTGTTCTTTTTTTTTTTTTTTAAAAAATAAGAGTTTGAATCAAATACTTGAGGACACATGCATTATTTCCCAAAAGATTGTCATTCTCCCCCAAACTTGAAACAGACAGTGTCCTCACTGGACTCAATTTAAGTACATAGGAGTAAAGAAACAACAATTAATCACATGAAAATAATGAATGTGAGAGACAACAAATTAACCTAGGATGGGACAAATTAGATACTATATGCACAAACGACGCGTCATCTACTAAGCCGAATTGAAATACAAAGTAATCACATGAATTCATGGTAACACACTCTCCATAGAATATAATTTCAAAATTAAATCATAAGTAATAACAAGGGAGAGGTACTGGCCTGAATTATTTTTCTCGGTCGACGTTGATGATGAACGGAAGCTGTTGAGTGACGAGGACTGCAACGGTGCCAAAAACTTGTTGTATGTCTACTGCAAGCGCATGGGCTTATCGTGTAGCAATAAGATATTGTTCCCACGAGGACTAAGATACTAAGTACTGAAATCCTATAACCTAGTTAGCTAAACAAATGCAAACTTTGAGAGTTGTGAATATTTAAAGCAAACAAGTAAACTAAAATAGATCAAACTTTTTAGAAAGTAGAGAATGACAAATGTCTAGAATTTGGTTCACTACAATGATGATTACGAATTAGTGTACGACCCCCTCTTAATTATGAATGCCAACTTACGAAGGTGAATTATCCTATTTTAAGTATTATCTTCTCTCGAAGTATAACAACGTGCCTATATTAACCAACCTCCTATTCTCATGGTGATTATATTAACTTAAACCCATTAACGATCTTTGATAATCAATGAGCCCTCAAAAGACTAAAACCTACTCTCTTAATTCTAAATCTTAGGTTCAATTCTACAGTTCCGGTATTAAAATTTCACCTCTCGGCCCTTCACTCAATACCCATAATCATGCAAATAAATGGTCAGTAAATTCGCAAGCATTAGACACCCTAGAATCAAATCATAAGCATATGGTTTTCACAACATCAAGGAAGATCAAAATTTCATTCCATAATCAATCATTGGGCTACCCCAAATTCTAAAACAAGAAGACTTCTCACTCATATTCAACAATGAATCTATCAAAGTAATAAAAATCAATAAGCGCATAACAAGAAAGATTAAAGAAGGAGAAAGAAACTCTTAGTCTCAATAATCTTCACTTCAAATCTTCAATTGAAAAGAGTAGGAGAATTCTTCAAAAGAGAGCCAAAACCCTTGCTCCTAAAAGTTCTCTCTAGGTTTCGTCAAAAGTGCAAAAGATGATAATGGGAGAAAGTAGCTAATACCCTAAACATAATATTTTTAGGAGAGAAAAACTAGGAAAAAAAAATCATTTCCTAAATTAATTAGGTCTTTTATTAAAAGTTGCTCTCCAAGAAACTCCTCTCGGCCAAAATACTCCAGCCAGCCGTCCAATTTGTGCAAGAAATCCGAAATTTGTTGATTGGTCCTTGAATTTTCAAAATATTCCACTTTTGCCTCACAAGTTTTGTGTTTCTTCAATTTAGTTCCTAAATTTTTTTTTCTGCTCTGTTTCGCTCGAAATATTAAAATTACTCCATTAACTCTAAATCCTACAAAAGAAATAAAATAAAAAATCAGTTGTCCCAAAAACACTAAAAACACAACAAATTCTTAAGTAAAAGAGTTGGAAAAATATATAGATAGATTGCATTATAACCAAGGAAGAGGTGGAACTGCCTACTCAAAATTTTGAGGTCTTGAAAAAGTTTCAGAAAGTGTTTGAAGAGCCAACTACTTTAACTCCTGAGAGATTAGTGGATCACCATATCCCTTTGAAGCCTGATTCTATGCTATTCAAGATAAAACCTTATAGATATTCTCATGCCCATAAAAGTGAAATAGAGGCTGAAGTGGATGAACTTCTTAAAAAAGGGACAGCCAGGGAAAGTAGTAGTCCTTATGCTTCTCCTGTTTTACTGGTTAAGAAGAAGGAAGGCAGTTGGAGGATGTGCACTGACTACATACATCTAAATGCACTGACTGTAAAGAATAGATATCCAATTCCAGTTATTGAGGAATTACTTGATGAGTTGAAGGTTGCACAGTGGTGTTCTAAAATTGATATGAGATCAGGCTATCATCAAATCAGAGTTTGTAGAGATGATATACCCAAGACTGCATAGCATACTCATCTTGGCCACTTTGAGTTTTTATAATGCCATTTGGGTTAACCAATGCTCCAACCACTTTTCAGCAGCTGATGAATCAAATTTTTAAGCCATATCTTAAGAAGTTTGTTTTAGTTTTTTTTGATGAGATCCTGGTACATTCAATGTGACTTTGCAGGATCATGTGGAACATCTTACAGTGGTATTGAAAGTTTTGGTGAATAATCAGTTATATGCAGAAAGGACTAAATGTTCATTTGCTCAGCCATCTATGGAATATCTTGGCCATGTGCTTTCAAGAGATGGGGGCATATGGATCCTGGTAAGGTTCAAAGTACTATAGATTGGCATGTTCCTAAATCAGTAAAAGGGTTGAGGCAATTTCTTGGTTTAGGGGGTTATTACAGAAGGTTTGTGAAAGGATTTGGGTTGATTAGCAAGCCACTTACCAATTGTTGAAGAAAGGGGCATTTTTGCATGGAATGATCAAGCTACCACAGACTTTGAACATTTGAATAAAGCATTAACCACAACTCCTGTACGAAAGATACCTGATTTCTCTCAAGAGTTTGTAGTGGAAACGTATGCATGTGGAGAAGGAATGGGAGCTATATTGATGCAACAACAACAACCCATAACTTATCTAAGCTATTATTCTGTGACATGATTAAGGCACTATCCACTTATGAGAAAGAACTTTTAGCTCTTGTAATGGCTGTTAGCAAGTGGAAACATTACTTACAGGGACATCATTTTGTGACCAAGACAGATCATAGATCTTTGAAGTATATATTGGAGAAGAATCTTAACACCCCTATGCAGCATAAGTGACTGGTAAAGTTGTTGGGTTTTGATTATGAAATACAATATAAGAAACGAAAAGAAAATGTGGTAGCAGATGCTTTGTCAAGAAAAGAGGATGGAAGTACAGTACAGGTGAATGCCATTACCACTGTTCAACCATTGTGGATACAACAGTTGGGAGAGAGTTGTGGAAGATACAGTGGCTCAGCAGATGTTATTAGATGCTGCTTTGGATGCAGATAACCATGCTGAGTTACATTAAATAGGAGGGATTTTGAAAGAGAATGGGAAGTTATATGTTGGGGGATCAAGGGGGATTCAGAAGAAACTTCATCTCAGTGTTTCTTTCTTCTTCATTGGGTGGTCACTCAGGGCAAAAAGCAACTTACTAGAAATTGAGAAGTCTATTTGGTTGGAAGAATATGAAGAAGGATGTTGAAGAATATTTTAAGAATTGTGTTATATGCCAAACTAGCAAAGGGGAGCATGTCCATTATCCTGGATTGTTACAATCATTACCAATACCTTAGTAGGCTTGGAAGGGGATTGCCATGGACGTCATAGAAAAGTTGCCATTATCCATTGAAGGTTTTGATTTTATATTTGTGGCGATTGATAGGTTAACCAAGTATGGGCATTTTATTGCTTTAAAACATCCTTTCTCTACCAAGGATGTGGTTTGAGGTCTTTTTTAGAGAAGTATTCACGTCGCATGGAATACCTGAGTCTATAGTGACTGACAGGGATAAGATTTTTACTAGCCACTTCTGGAAAGCTTTGTTTCAAGCTTTGGCAGTTAATTTGTGTTTCAGTACGGCTTATCATCCACAGTCTGATGGTCAATCTGAAAGGTCAAACCAATGTTTAGAGATTTATCTGAGGTGTTTTTGTAGTTCTTCTCCTAACAATTGGTCTAAGTGGATGGTTCTTGCTGAATGGTGGTATAATACATCATTTCATTCCAGTGCTAATATGACTCCTTACCAAGCTTTGTATGGTTATCAGGCTAATTGTATACCATTAGGTGGGTAACATAATATGCTGATACCTGCAGCTGCTTACATGATTAGGCAAAGGCAAATGGTGATGGAGAAGGTGAAAGACAGTCTTTCAAAAGCTCATCAGAGAATGAAGTTTTATGCTGATCAGTTGAGAACTAAAAGAGAATTCAAAGTTGGTGATTTGGTGTACTTAAGGTTGCAACCTTGTAGGCAACAAACAGTGGTATCAAGAAGCTTTCTCAAGTTGACGTTGAGGCATTTTGGCCCTTATAAAGTCTTGGAAAGGATTGGAATGGTGACATATAAATTAGAGTTACCATCGGGATCAAAAGTGCATCCTGTGTTCCATGTATCTTTTCTTAAGAAACGTGAGGGACCTCTTTCTTCTATGATTTCAGCACTGCAGACTTAGAAGATAGTGATGAATGTTCACTGTTGCCTGAAAGGATTTTACAAAGGAGGTTTGTGTTGAGAGGAGCTGAAGAAGTTGTCCAGTGGTTGATTAAATGGCGTAGCTTGGAAATAGAAGATGCATCATGGGAAGATAGTTTGTTCATCAAGGGACAGTTTCCAGATTTTAAAACTTGAGACATGTTTTATTTTAAGGGGGCAGGAATGTTAAGCACGACAAATATGTGAAGTTGGTGGGTTTCAAAATTTGGTAAAGGTAGGGAGGGGACGACGTCATACTGCATGGGGGCATTTAATATTTTCATGCAATGGAATTCAACTGGTTCTGTTTTACCATTTCGTGTATTTTTAGTATAAAAAGGAGTTGTACTGTTTTGTTTTGATTATCGAAGATTCGAGATAATAATTCTGTTTGCAGAATTCCTCTTTCCCTTAAACTCTCTCTTCCCTAAAACTCAACTTCTCCTTTTTCTTTCAATTCTATTCCGGTCGATTGATCTAACTCCGACGAGTTTTGCCTGAAATTCATTCGGATTGTGGACTGAGAATTACCTGAGTGTGACACAAACTTCAATAATTTAAGCTTCATGACCTTCACATCGATGTCCACCAATCTGCAGTGCGACACGATTTGAGTGAGGGTTTCAAAAGGCCGCACCATTCCTGTCAATTTGTCAGGTACACCCTTTTATGCGTCTTTGGTTTAATAAAATGCAACTTAATCATGTTAAATATGCAATATTAAAGTGTTAGGGATAGAAAGTACCAGTAAATAATTTAGCTAGTTCATGAAGACCTTTGTAATTAAGAACATAGAAATTTCACAACAAATTTAAATTCTTTCCTTTTTACTTAGGCCAAGTCAAATACTGAGACATATTTTAACCTTCGTGGAGGAACATGATCAAATCATTTTTATTACATTAGGTGCCTTTATGGTGGGCGATGAAGGCACAGTGGGGGCGATGGGCGACTGTAGCACGGGCGAAGGGTCAGGTTTTCGATTCAACGATGGCGAAGGGTCTGCTTTTCTTTTTTTTTTTTTTTTGAGACTCTAGTACTTATTGGTGCTTAAGAGGTACATAGACTACTACAATTGGGGTGGAGCCTGTTGGAGAAGGGAATAGTATTAGTAGGGTGAGACTCCACTCGAGAGCGCCTTCTACTTGAATGTCCAGTCCTCCTTGGTCGGCATGTGCAGGCCTCCAGCCTGCTTGACGAGGCTGCTTTGATCAGCTGCCTGCTTTTTTTGTCAGCTGCCTGCTTCCATCGTCGTAGCGACGCTAATCACAACTTTTTGTGTGAAGATTTGTGATGGAAAATAATAATTTCTTTGGAAGAATAGAGATTGACACCGTTGAGGAGAGAGAAGAAGTTTAATTCTCCGGTCAAAATAAATTTGACGATGAAGGATGGGTTTTCTTTATTTTTGTTCCTAAAAGATATTGTAAATATATGAGGTGATAATGTGGACGTTCCAATTAGGATTGACATGTAGTAGAGTGGGAACACGATGTGATCGGGTCTCACATACGTACTAATTGACATGTAGTAGAGTGGGAACACGATGTGATCGGGTCTCACATACGTTTTAATTGAAGTTTGTCCCCTTTGTACCGAAAAAAAAGTCATTACTCTTAAGGAGCTTGGAAAAAGCAGAGAAATCAGAAATCCCTTCTTATTTTACACGGCATACACAATTTTTTTTTTCTTTCTAAAATTGAATGGAAAAGTCATCATCCCTGAATGAAATAAATCTCAAAAGTCACAACAATTGAAAATAAATCATTTAGCTATTATTTTGTTCCTTATTTGCGTCCCTTCCATTAATTAGATTAACCAAAGAACTATATAAAAAAAATGAAGGAATAGCAGAACTATTAAATATGTGTGAATCGTTGTGTTGTTTCAGCGTGACAGCATCAAATCACAAGTGCTCTTATTTTTTTTTTTAAACTCATTTTAGGAGAAAAGTAAATGACATTTACTCATAATCTCTTACGGTGAGATGATTGGAAAATATTTCATTTACATTAATTGGAAAATAAAGAGAATTTAAGTAGCTACATTATTGGCTTGGAAATAAATAATATTCTTTTAATTATTTTTTACATATTTTAGCAACTTATCCGGCATAAACGAGTAACACACTAAATTCCGCGCCAAATTATCTTGAATTTTCATATCAAACAAGCGAGTATATAATGCACATCACGCTAAATTTCAAATGATTTGGATATAGACATATACTAATTGCTAGTATCTATTTGTGGCTAGCAGATATTTTTTACACCAACCTTTTAATTTCACCCAGTTTGTCACCAATTAATAACGGGATCTCGTCTGGCTCCATTTATCCGTTAGTAAACTTTGTTCTTCACTTGCTAGTTGCTAACATTAGCTGTTCTTCAGTAGATCTGCTTAAGCCGCATTTTAAGCCTTTTCATAGCTCCAAGGGGAAGGAATTTTCGAAACTGAGAGAACAAGAGGCTATAAAGGTATTTTTTTCGTTTTTTGTTTTCCGTTTTTTAAGTTCTTTGTTGCAATTTTGTGTTTCTAGAGTCTCCCTAAAACTTTAAAGGGCGGGCCTTCTGACCCATTGATGTTATTATTGTTTTTGAACTTTTGCGTTTTGGTTTGGTAAGATCTATGATGTCTTCCATGTTAAATTGAGATGATGGGATTTTGTTTTAATGTTTCTTTCTAATTAGTATGTTCAAAAAGTACAAATCGCATATCTAATCGCCCGTTTAACGAAGCTTTAGAGGAAATAAAGATTGAATATCGGGTTCCAATAGTGAATGAGCCTTCTTGGATTGTTTGAGAAGATTTAATCTTTTAAGAAAAACGAATGTACATTATCCCACATTTTTTCTTGAACAATTTAAAACTGTTACTGTCTGATAGTTGAGGAGGAATTTATGTTAATTTTAAGCCATAGTTAACCAATCTTAATGTTGTCAACTTGTCATAATGATGTGTTTAGCCTATACATTGTTTTTGAATCCAAAAAACAAGCAAACTTTAATGTCTCCCCTTATCCTCATTTGCAACAGATTCAGAATCATTAAGATGTCACTCTCGGATGAAATGGGAATTTTCGATGATTTGGATCCCCTTTCGATCGGTTTTGTAGAAGAAGACTTGAATCAGGAGGCCGGAAATGAAAGGTTGGTCGAGCAGAATGAGAACGCTGATGAGGAGGAAATAGATATCAGTGAGCTGGAGGAGAGGATATGGAAAGACAAGATCTTGCTGAAAAAGCTCAAAGGAAAGCAGAAATCTGGGGATGCTGATGAGGAAGAATCTTCACAGCGGCATCAAGAAGAAAAGGCGCGGAGAAAGCAGATGTCGCACATGCATGACTCTATGCTGAAGTCTATGCTGAAGATGATGGAACTCTGCAACGCTCAAGGTTTTGTTTATGGGATCATCTCAGAAAACGGAAAACCTGTCACCGGCGCTTCTGACAGTCTTCGCGCTTGGTGGAAGGAGACTGTGAGGTTTGATCAAAACGCGCCTTTAGCAGTCGCCAAGTATCATCAGGCAGCAGAGGTTTCGGTTGGAAAGGAGGTGGAAAATGGAGGAGCCATTTCATCAACTCCGCGCAGTTTGCATTTGCTTCCGGATTCTATTCTAGGGTCACTTCTGTCGGCTCTCATTCAGCACTGCGATCCACCTCAACGACGGTTTCCTATAGAGAAAGGCATACCTCCACCGTGGTGGCCCAATGGAACCGAAGAATGGTGGCCAGAGTTAGGCCTGCCAATGGATCAAGGGACTTCTTCTCCTCCTCTTCCATACAAAAAGCCTCATGATTTAAAGAAAGCATGGAAAGTCGGTGTCCTGACCGCGGTCATCAAGCACATGTCTTCCGACATCTCTAGGGTTCATAGGCTCGTTCAACAGTCGAAATGCCTACAGGATAAGATGACAGCCAAGGACAGCGCTACTTGGCTAGCGGCCCTTAATCACGAGAAGGTTTTGGCGGCGCAAAAGCTTTCGCAGACAGCCTTAAATGCCGACAACACCAGGAATAATGAACCTTCTTTTCCTGCACCTGATTCCAGTGAGACTAACAATAATGGTGGAGATTTCAACAGTCTATTCTCAACGGCTGAAGACAGCGAGATGGTTCCATTAGACGGGATTAATATTGGAAATAAGCGGAATAATTCTTCATCTGTAGTGGGAGACATGGAAATGAGAAAGTATACCTGTCCGAATCAACATTGCCCTCACAGTTCCTATGATCAGGGGTTTGAAAACTGGACACTCAAAATGAATCATCAGCTCTATTGCATTTATGGATCCGATGCTATTTCTCGAAGTCGTGGGATATCATACAATTATCCGATGAGTAATAACCCTAACATGGCCGCTACTCAGCCTACAACATCAGCTTCTCAGGATCCATCGGGCTGGAGAACTCCTGAACTTGGGATTTTACCCGAAGACGGCCAAAGGCAAATATCTCAGCTTATGTCGACCTATGACAACAGCTTTCAGACAACAAATGCTGGTTTTAACTCTGGGAATGTGACTTGTATTGAGAATCAAAACCTTCAACAGCCAATAATTTCTCAGGTAAATCCGAATGGAAATGTGCGGGATTCGGTGGGAATTACGCTGCAAGATGGAGCACAAGTATCGCAAGAAACTACCAATCCTCAGGGCCTGATCCGCAACAATGCTTTGCTCCCTTCGACTGGATTTCTAGATGAGGCTTCAACATCATCAGCATACGATTACTCCATGGATTCATTCCCTTGGTAAAACTAATGTTGTTCCTTTCTCACCTGAAGAAGATGAAGTTGGGTTTTCAAGGATTCTTAGTTTGTGATTTCGATCAATGTCATTCAATAAAATTATTCAGGAATATTCAAAAACTGTACTCTTGTTTTTCTGATTTCCTTTTTCCATGCATTATCTTAACTAAGCTTTTATTACAAACCAAAATCAGAAGTGAACACGGGAACTACCTGATGAATGAACATGAGAAGAAATATCCCTATTCTATTGCCAGTACTGCTGAGGAATTATAAGAAGTTGTACTAAATTGATACTCCCCTGCCCCATTTTTTTCGTCTCAGAAAAATAGCCGAATTTGTTGAACTAACAAAATACAGTAAAGCAGACTATTTTTTCTAAGATGGATCAAGAGTAATTCAATTTGTTGAATTGTGTAGATTGATTTTTATTGACATTTGAGTCACTCCATATATGATAGTGATAATTTCCGATTAATGGACTTTAGCAAATCAAGTACAAAAGGTCATTGTTAAAAAAATAAAAAAAGAAGAAGGTAACTAACAATCTAGGAATATCACTCCTAACAAGGATTTCCGCCTAATTTCGTATTCGTTCTCCACCATCCCAAGTCAGTAGAAATCATAAAAATTCGTGACCAATAAAAACCGCAAAAATAACCGAATTTGACATTACTATGTAATTGTAATATTTTCTTTGTCCCAAAATAACTAGAATAGACAAGATATACGTTATTTCAAACCGCCAGAATGAATACGAGGTATGCAAAATATAGTAGTATATTTGCTGCTCTAAACAGATATTGTAAAATTGATTAAAGTTTATTATCTTTACATTTGCTGATCTAAATGTCATGATATTAGGGAGATCAATATACTGGCAAATAAAAATATATTAGGTTAGCTGATCAATGGACAGCATATTACATGCTCCTAATGCTTGTTCTTATTTCCAGACCTCGATCCGTCACTTGTTTATATAAACGCATTCCCTAATTACTAGTTTCATACATCCCTTGTACTAAAACAATACTCCCTATATATATGGACATTTCCTAATTACTAACTTCATATATCACTTGTACTAAAAAAATCGACACTAGCTTCGCCCATTTTCATATAAGAAAAACAATCCATTTTGTTAAACTAATGGCTACTTTTTTTTTTTTTTTGTGAGATGGGGGGAGGAATTCTATTTGTTGAAATGTAACGTTTGGATTTTTTTGGGTTGACATTTGAGTTACTCCATTTATCAAATTATGATTAATGATAATTTATGAATCACAGACTTTTATTGAAAACCTTTTCAGTAAATCAGGCAAAGTCATTATTATTATTATTAAAACAAATAATAATAAGTTACATTTTGGGATTGTAAACTACAAACAGATTCCAGCGGGCACTGGAAGAAGCTAATGCAAGTAAGAGATAAGCTCAAAATTGGAGTTCAGAGTGGAATATGGACAGGAAATGAGAGGAAATATGACACAAAAAGTGGATACAAATGGCTCAGAGGTGTAAAGGAAAAAGACAAGGCAGCACCAATCGTATTGATGAGGAGTAGGTTTAGGTTTTATTTGTTATAATTTTATATTTTATTATGGTTGTTTTTGTCATTTTAGATTAATAGAGATTAGGGTTTCCTTTAGACTAGTTCTATTTACAGGCATTAGCCACCTCATTGTAAGGACAATTGTTTAATTTTATTAAATTGAGAGTACGTCTCTTTCCCAGAATTCGCAGGGTTGAATTTTGATGCCTTAGTTCGGATATTCAAAGAATCAACGGATCTAGGAAGGCTGTTATCTAGGTATTCGTGCGTCAAATCAATGGATTTCAACGGTTCAATTTAGGGTTACTTGTTTATTCTCAAGATCGCGCTTCAGCTACTGCATCACAGAAGGAGTAAATTTTCCATTCCAAAGCACAGCCTCGTAGCTTGATAGCATGGAAAGGCAGGTTACTAATTAACTGTGGACAAGATGCAAAAAATGGGAGTTCAAGTAGAGGATGAGAATTGAATTCTGGGTTAAAGAGAAGATGAATGAGCAAAGCATCTTTTCTTTAGATGTCCACATGCAGAAGAGATGATGACAATGATTGCAGCATGGTTGGGACTGAGAACTAAAAAACAGGGCTTCATCCAACAAGACTGAACATATGGAGATGCAAAGCAGTCAAGAGAGATATAATGTTTTATTGTGTGAATGTAGCTATACATCATGTTTGGTCAGAGAGGAACCCCCAATAATTTGTGGAAAAAACAGAAGATGTGGGTAGAAGATTTGGAAGACTGAAATTGGAAATTCAATGGCTATTAATGCATAAATTCAAGAATGGTAGTGGTGATGATGTGAGGAAAGTTTAGGTGTTTAGATTGGATGAGACTATAAATACATGCATATAACTTGATGAAGAAGCAATGAAAATTTTACAATTCACCAAAAGAAAAGTTATGTAATTTGTAATCTTTGTTTCTCAAATTTGTAAGAGATATGAAAACAACAAGAATTCCTTTCCTTGACTTATAGGGTATTTTGATGAGGTAGACAATTAGCTAAAACTAAAACTTAAATTGGATCCAAAAGAAAATTTTGGTGCAATTAATTGGGGCTGCTCCAAGAATGCCAAATTTAAATTGGGTTTTTAGGCTACAGAACTAAATTTTGACTGATATTAGTTGACTCCGACAACAAAAGGCGGTGGTAAAGGTAACTCCTGAACACTTTTTTTTCGTGTTCACGTTCTTCTTGTTTTCATTTGTATTTGAAATCTCTAACCCTAAGTGTGTGCATTCCTTCCTTTAATATTGTTGTAAAATAATTTTCTCATGCTTAAACTCTTTGTAGTTCTTATTTTGGTATGATATAATTGAGTTATTTAATGTTACATTATATTTTTTTCTCTAAATTTGAGATCATATGTTTACTTATTTTGTTATTTTGTAATTGTACAAATCCAACTTTTTAGCAGTAATCAGAACCATGATGGATGATCAAAACACACTTAGCAGCATTGATTGTGATGAACATATTTTACAGCATGTGTTATGTTAAGGTTATAGTTAGCCTTAATCGTAACCGTTAGATCTGTTAATAAGTAGATGATCATAGTCGTAGATCAGTTCATTAATTAGTAGGGCTTTATATAAGCCGGTTTTTTAATTATGTAAGATGATAGTTTTCAGTTTAGATTTGATATAACAGAATTCATTAATATCAAAATCGTTCTTTTTCTTCCTCTGCTCCAAACCCTAGCCATTGAATCGTTCTTTCTTTCCGCATTCTGTACAAGGTATTTCCATTAGCTTTTCCATATTGCTCGGCTAATTCCTCCCATAGTTCCTTTGCAGATAGTGTGCATATATCCATTAACCAGATCTTGAGTCATAGTAGTAATTATCCACGATTTAACCATCGAATATACCTCTTTCCAAAGCCAAAATTGTGGATTGTTGTCAGGTGGTGCAGGACAAGAACCATTGACAAATTTGAGTTTAATCTTCGACTCAAGGACCGTCTGAAATGATCTGCTCCAATCAAGATAGTTTGATTCGGTTAACAACCTTGTTACTAACACCATGTGATGCGATCCTGGATGGCCCGTTGAGTGTCATACCTAACCATGATGATCATTACATTGATTGTGATCACATAGGGGGTGTATGGTATCATATTGAGGTTGGAATTAAGGATGATGGAAGATTGAAGCCAAAATATACTTCGCGCCAAGTTAGAATCAAGTCAATAATGAAATCAAAAGAATCACGTCGACATGATGGTCAAGCAAATGAGGTAGATGAGAAAGCTAACAAGGTGTGCATCAATGATTTAGCCAAGAAGAAACAATTAATAAAGAGGAATCATGTGGACATCCTAGGTGATCAAGCTCAAGGACAAGTAAATGTTCAACCAAGTAATCAAGTTCGAGCTCAAAGAGTGATTCAAGATCCATTAGCTAACATTGGAGGTTCTATGATGAGGTTTCGAATGAAGAAAATGAATGTATCTCTCAACAATTTGTTCATGGATGTTAAGCTCTCCATGTGGATTCAATTCCATTGGTTGCATGCTTATATTGGAGTGGAATTGAAGCTTTTGGTGCACGCCTAGCTCTTGGTCGAGGAGAAGAAATCAACAAAGAAGTTGACAAGCTGTCGTCGAGTTCATGGCCGAGCCATAAAAGTCGACAACAAGGCTGACAGGAGTGCATCGAGCAGGATGTCGGTCGACGAGGAGGTCGACGCGCACGGCCGAATTTTCCTATCTTCCTATTTCGATTAGGAAAGGTATTTTTCGATCATTTATCCTTTTTGGCCAACTCTTATTCATCTCTAGAAGATTCTAGATGGTTTTAAATAATTGTGTCTTGTGCAATTATTTATTTAATTATTATTTAAATCTAGATGGTATTCGGATTTCTTTTTGTTGAAGCCAACCTTGCCTATAAATATAGGGGGGCAAAATCATATACTTTTGATGATTATTGATATTTCAATACAAGACGAGAGGAAACTCTTTGTTCTTTTTCTATTCTTTTTGAAGAATAGTGCATTGCACACTTGTTTGTGCTTTGTTGACGCGTGCACGTGATTTTAAGTGTTCTTCACATGTGGAGCTTGGTTAGTTTGTTCATTGGAGCCTTTTTGCTAACCGTCTATCCATAAATCAAAGGGATAGGGTTGTTAAAGAGGAACCGATTGGATTGCTGGCCAAAACACAATTCTTCATCTTTTGGATCTTCCATTCTTTTTTATGCAAATTTTTGTGGCTTGCATCGTTCTTCTTCTGTTCTTCTTCTCTTTCTCGTGTGATTTGGAGTATTCTCCATTGGCGTCGCAAGTTATCAAGTTTTGAGAAATTCATAGCTTCTGCGTTTGAGGTAATTCAATAATCTCACCTCATGATTCATATCACCATGACTGGATGATCAGTACCACGAATACGAAGACTTTCTACAACAAACCTCTGTTCTTCAGTCATTCAATCTCCAGCAAGAATTACTCTA